TTCTAAACGAAGCCCGTTTAAGCTAACAGTTCATATTCGTTCGTTGTCGTTGAATGGCGTTACATAGTACTTGTTGACATGATTCGATTTTATATTTAGCTGTGCTGTGAAGAAATGAAATAATAGATCTAGCTTTCTTTCGTTAGTATTGGTAATGAAAAGTCATTTAGATCCAACTCTAAATTATCAAACAATACATCTTCATCACTTATGTTCGGATTTATGACTTACGAGGGAACCGCCCTAACTGTCAAATCTTTGCAAAGTTGTAGAATTTAAGAGAAAAGCCCTAAATTAATTTCTTCGTATTTCTGTAGCTCTGAGTTGACAATGAACATTTAGGGCTTTTCTAAATTCTATTTTCCCACTATTTTTTAGGAGTTTTGAAAAACTGAAATCCGGTCTCTGAAGACCTATCGGCCAAAATGATTGTTATATTCGGAATCAGCATAGTCTATAACCTATAACCCACTAGGCTTCACCCAAAAAGCGATTTGACAGTTAGGGCGGTTCCCTCGTTAGTCATAAAAACCAAACGCACTGAAGTTTTTTTACAACTAACGAGGGAATCCCACCAACTGTTTAAAAGCTTTTGGGCTCATATTTTGTGCATAAGTAGGACTCGATGGGACTAGAAAAACCGTAAAAGGATTTAATCCTAGAGGCCTAGTTAGTTGAGATACGAACATTTCATGTTTGCGATGAGAAGCATGTATACGTAGCTTGTGCGCTTGAATCATTTCAAAAGCCAAAATTGTTACTAAAAATACCTACAATCAGAAATGTTTTACGTGTAAGGTTCCATTTTGATGGGTCATCCCCAGACTAATGTATAGATTCTAAAATCCTTTAATCTTGATTAATTCATAGACAACTGACACTGAAACATGTAACTAAAAACCTAGAACGGTTAGAAAACGAGTTATACGTTTTTGCGGTGCATGACAGCTTAGTGGATGTAATAACTGACGAAAAAATCATTGAAACATACTCAAGAAAAATGCATACATAATGAAACTTTCGACAGTAAATGTAGAATGGACGGATATTCCCAACATTCCGATATAATAAAATATTAATACTTAATGCTCTTTTTCTACCGAAGTCCGTTCATCAGATAAATACAACGACAGTATTTTTGCAACAATCTCACATCTCACTCTCAGGATGACCCATAGAAGTGGAACCTTGTACGTAAAGCATTCCTAATTATAGGTATTTTTACTAACAATTTTGGCTTTTGAAATGATTCAAGCGCACAAGCTACGTATACATGCTTCTCATCGCAAACATGAAATGTTCGTATCTCAACCAACTAGGCCTATAGGATTAAATCTTTTTTTTACGGTTTTTCTAGTCCCACCGAGTCCTACTTACGGAGCCCAAAAGCTTTTAATCAGTTGGTGGGTTCCCTCGTAAGCTCCAGATTCAGCAGACCGAGTTGTTATTAAAAACGCCACATTCTGATTGCGGTAATAGTAGAAAGTTCTATCTGCAACGTTTTTCGGATATTATGTAAACTGTCGAAGGGTGAGGCATCAATCTGAGATTAGGACCTTACGAGGAAGCCTAGGAACGTTTTTGGTAACCCTCTGTGCCGTTTCTTTACAAAAGATCTTCTGTTAGTATGCTTTAATTGCATTTTAGACTGGTATCGAGACAGTAATAACAACAGTAGATCCACAAATGAAACAGTATATACGTATGTGAATTTTTATTTGATGCTTGTTATAAGCTGAATCAATGTTTTATCTTGTTACTATTCTAGAACCTGGTGTTGATATACATCTTATTTTAACATCGGCAAAAGAAATCAAATTGACACCTGTTCGAGATGCATTTATCAATGTTTTTGGTCGAGTAACTGTGCAAGGCATTGTAAGTATTAAACATTATTTTTATCCCGACATAATCTATTCGTTATCGTTTTCTTTAGGGTGTTCAATCTAATGTTGCGCCTCAACCTGTTGGATTTGAAGCGGGTTTTAAAGGAGCAGGACAAAGAATTGAAACTCTTCGTCGACAAAACGTCGTTCGTCA